CTAATTCGACTGAAAATGGCATGGCTTCAACATTGCATTGGCACAATTTGGGGTAAAAATTTTATTTCTGCCGTTTTTCGATATAGCCGTAATTTTTTATGTAAATGGCTATTGAAAAAACTTGCTTTGCTCGGACTGAAAATTGACACGAAAAGATTTCTAAGATTGTATGATAATAATTAGTGGTCAAAATATATTTTTGCAATTTTTAAATATGGCTGCCATTAAAGACCTACTTAATTTTTTTTAAAACATAGCCATAAGTGCCGAGGCCGGAGGCCGAGGTCCGCGGAGGGCAAAGGCCGAAGCGTCCGCACGCCATCAAATGGAGATAATATACCGAGACGTAATAGATTACGAGTACAAGATCTCACAATTATAAAAATGTAAAGCATGCTTCCCGATGTAGTGGAAATGAGATGCTTATTATAGCGTTGTTGTATCTCAACCGTCTTTATGTTAGATTTCATTTTCTTGAAAGCTATGCCAGAGAGAGGTATTTAGGGGGAAAAAATGCCAAACTACTGCCGAATTTCCTGTACTATGTAAGTACTATGAATACCAAATCAACGATAACCCAGAATACTCAGACCGAAACCGATTTAGAAATGTTCGTTTCTTAAATTGGCATAAATCGGGAATCGACCTCCTCATCAAGCGCCCATAGTACTAACTGCTGTGCCACCGAAGAGCATGAGCACACCCCGTAAACTGAAACCGACCACGCGCCACAGGCCGAGCCCGACCCCACCGTGGGTGGGGTACAGGACTCGTTCTATAAATAAACCTTAAAGTGAGAAAATAAAACGAGTGCATACTATAGTACCTACCTATCATTTTGCTTCAACATGAAAGGGTTGTAACCCTAACTAGTGAATAGGTTCACGGCAATGAAATGGGAAACTTCCGGTCCACAAAATTTATTAAAGAAGTAAAGTTTAAAGAAAGGCTGTAACAATATAAAGGTAAATGTAAAAAAAGCAGGCATAACAGTATAAAACACTCCCTACACTTTATTATTAAGGCACTTACCCCTAAATGGGACGAGAAACTGAATTACAGAAATAGATACATGAAGGCTGTAGACTTATAAATTATTACACATGATTAGCTTATTAACAGCTCTGACTGTTGTAGCGGTCGAGCTGGGAGTGGCCGTGGTACGAAAACAAAATGAGAAAGTGAAGGAAGATGGAACAATTCAAATTTAAAATTTAAATACATGTAAAATTAAAAAAATGATAAGATACAAGCGGAGAGAGGCGATACAAAGAGGTGAGATGACGGTGTAAGGAGGTCACACCGTCACAAACAACCTAGTAGAGAGTAGAATAAATATTTTTGCTTATCGTACAAAGGGGGTGCATCTTCAAATCCCTACACGGCTTACAATCATCTTGAGTAAATCGTGGTTCATCGTGAGTTTACAGAAACTCTTTTCCTCAGACAAGCTTGGTCTAACGGTCTATGGTTTAAACTTCCTCACCGGAGACGTTGATGGTCAAATATGAATATGAAGATGGTTAGAGTAGCTGTTGCAATTCAGAAAGTTAAATATTTCGAAGAATATTTATATAAACGGTTTCGAACTGGAAATTAAACAAAATATTGCTACATGAACTATAATGAAACGTTAATTTGGTGTAAATTAACAACAAGTACTGGCGTTAATCATATTCACTAACGATGGTTATTTGAAATTTTGTCCATATCGCGACGTACCACTAACCTACATAGATATTAATCAATAAATTGCAAAGGCATATCCTAACATTAAGTACTATAATTTTATTAAAGGTATTAATTTCATTTGCAATATAATTTAAATATCTTCTTTTTCAAGGAGCGCCTAGTGGAAGAGTTCAGGGAAGTATGTACAATAATGTGAGTATTATTGCTTTCCGGGACAGGGTGCTGGTGAAACTATAAGTAAGGGACTTGACAATTTTATGTTTCAGGGTGGCGATTATGGGCGTAGTGGTAAGTAGCCCTCAGGTCTTATTTAAAAAAAAAATTTTTCACATTTTTAGGGAAACTAACAGCTTTTCCACAGATAAAAGTCTTTGCGAAGGTGTACCCAAAACTTTTTATTTCTTCCGTGTTTTCTTATATGTACCTACAAATTAGATTGGCAATGCAAGTGAAAGAGCGTTAGTATACACGTATGTTAGAGCGAGATGGGTAGACGAGACCACTTCATGATACGCTATGAGCCTGCATGAACCTAGGGTCAACTGACAACGAAACAAATTTCGTTTATTTTTGAAAAATAATTGGTTTTAAAATGTGAAATAGTATTAAGCGAACGTTTATTAGTCACGGTAACGTGTTCAGTACCCGGATGTAACTCATCTAAAAAGGAAAACTCGCAGAATTGTACATTTCACATGAAAGTACTATTTAAATTTTTACCTGTCCAAAAGCACTACCACAAAAGTTTTTTACATAAATATATCCGTAAAATTATACCATTCAAGTGCATTAATAACCCAAATGTATACGAATTCAATTAAAAAATATATCAAATACGTGAATTTCTGAAATTCTTAACCCCACTTTCATAGAGATTGATGCAATCGATAATATGTTATCGAGATGTCATTAACTGAAAAAAAGAAATGCAAAGGCGATGCTTGCATACAGCCGAAATCATCTTCATACTTAATATTATTGAATCAGAAATTTCTGGTTTTGGTACTTTATATTTAATTAATATTGCATTAGTGCATTATTTTTTGTCTACATTAAAACGAAAATTTCTTTTAATAGCGTAGTTGAGGCACTCATTTTTTATGTTAATTATTGTTGTTGATTCAGATTTCCTCAAAACATTGAAGTACGACAGAAATGGCTTATAATGCCATGAGAGAAGACTGGGTTCCCAAAAAAGTTTAAAAAAATATGCAGCAAACACTTTCAGGAAAAATTCTTTTCCTTTAGAGGCAAGCACAGATCACTTGTGTGTCCATCTGTCCGTCTGTCACAGCCAATTTACTCCAAACTTACTGGTCTGATTATTTTGAAATTTGGTACACATAATGTGTTTGTGTGACCAAAACGTGTAACTGATCATGGGTTTTATCACCGTTTTGTAGAGCCATAGCGTTATCTTGGGTGAAAGTCCCCATTGTTTACCTACCATCCTATGACAGTGCCAGAAGGTGATAGTAGCTTTCTTAATTTTGTATTGAATCATTAATTAATTAGTTAATTAACATCTCGGCGTTTTGCGATAAGACATTTTGGTGAATACGACGAAGTGAAATGCCGGTGTAATATGTTAATCGATATTAAAGTTAAATCAGTGGATGGCGCAACACTACTTATCTTGCACATATGCACATTATACGCACACAGATGTATTTTTCTTTTGGTCTCGTCTCCAATACTTCAGGGCCAATCTATGGATATACTAAATCTATGGTCGTAACGTATAATGGAAAATTGACACTGGCGATGGTCGCCATATTTTCTATATTATTCTTATAAAACTGACACTGGTCCAAATTTAGTGGCCGCCATTAAGAAAATAATAATAATAATTTATATTAATTTAATAATACACCAGTACCAGTTTAGATATAGTATGAAAAATGAAATATTTTTTTTAATATTAAAAACAGCCACATGGTTTCCAATTATCGATTAGGTAGGACCACATCAATCGTTGAGTAGCGTCAGTTTAAGGTTAATAAGGTTAGCAATTCACGGAGCGGTTTCCATCCGCGCCCGCCGGTGCTGCCAGACACCGGTTTTATTTCAATACTCACGACCCTGCAAGTTTGTGCGGGCACGTAGCTGCCGCGGCTGCGGGCACGAAACCGTTGCGATTGCGGAACGGACCGCGAAGTTAGTGGGAGTTAATTGCAAGTCGCGCGGTTAATAGAGAACTCACCCTGCGTGCGCCTGCTCCACATTGCGCCTGAACCGACGGCCAAAGTGTGCGGGCGACGACGGCCACCAAGCGCACAGGTCATCGTGTCCTGCGCGGTTCTACTAGTACACTGCCGCGGCAACCGCGAACAACCGTCACCACTACAGGCGTAAAACGCTCCGTGAAATGTGGTACTAATTTTACATACTTAACTGTTACTTTCTACAGATGCCGCGGTCCCGCGGCAGACGCGGTGAAAACCGCTCCGTGAGTTCTTAGTGTAACGAAAAATGAGTTTCAGCACCATCTAACGTGTAATAGTTAGCTATTATATACTAGTAGCATTTTTATTAAAACGCCACCTGATGGTGAATGGCTGAACCAGGATGAAAAAAATACTGAAATATTTTAATATAACTCATACTCAAGTGACTGTAAATTTAATTTTGTTACATTTTAAAATTGTGTTACGTCGTTTTCACATTTTAGGCCCTACCCAATCAAAATCTTTAAGTTATAGTAGTAGATAATAGAGCGTAAAGTTTGAATTGCACACAAGCTAAAAAATGGCGACATCGGTACCCGATCTTACATAGCGTCATTACATATCTACCCTTTTTTCCAATATCTATGGTATAAACCATTGGGTCACGGAAGTTGTCAAATCAGACATCAGAAATTCTCTTTTCAAAATGTCTGCATTTTTTCCTTATTTCTTTCCATCCTCTAAGATTTTTTCGGTCATGATTTCCAAGATTGTGCCATGTGCTATATGACAATGTCTTCTGTAGGGATTTAAAAAAAATAGATAATTATGAACTTGAAAACTCAAATTCGATCTCACTGTTGAAACAATACAGCATTTATGCGAATATGTAATAAAAAATTTCATCAGAACAGGTTTATTAATACAGTCTAGAGGGACGTGTGTCGAATATTGTGTCCCATGAATAAATGATAATGTTGAAAAAGTTTCTAAATCTATAAACAATAAAAGTATCTACATTAAACTAGGCTTTGAATCACTTTGTAGCTATAATACGTATACAGGAAATCAATTATAATATCAACATAAACGACTTGTGTTTTAATAATACAACTAAAATTTTATTTTACCTAAACCAATGTTTAAATTAATACATATATCTTTTCAGGGCTTAACGTCGTAACCAACAATATGGAACTTGCCGACAGTTTCTCCGAGGTAAAACCACAAATAAATTTCGAGGGATACGAGGAACAGCAGCCATATTTGTTTCACGGTGAGAAATCTAAAACTGCCCGTCTTTATGAACTCTCTCACCAAGGCTAGATCACTAAACAATTTCTGGAAATGAAAACATACTTGCGATAAATAAATTGTTGGATTTAACAAAATGGTCTACATTACCTAGTAATTTATGATATACGGTCGGCAAAAGAGAAAACTATTTGCGCAAGAAAATTGACGGTCTCTAAATCAGAATTTCGTATATGATACCTATTTATGTAAATAGGTGTGGACGTGTTTGTAAGCAAAAGCGATATGTTGTCCCAGGTTATCAAAACAGGGTCGTTCAAATTCATGGTTCCGGTTTTGATGATACCACGTGACGGGACGAACATTACAGGCATATAGGACTTGTCAACTTATGCCTCAGGGTGACAGACGCGCAGTGGCATTCTCCCTTAGATCTTTGCAATTTAAAGCTCTGAGTTGCACTGCAACTGCTATAGACAGGCGTGTCGCTTACTCGGGCGACCTATCATTCAGTATCATAAAAAAATTGTTAAAAACGTAATGTTAAAAGTACCTACAGTAATCTCGTCGTGTCGTGGAGGTCTGATTTCTGCATTGTAAAACCCTTTGAGAACTTTCATTTTCCGGCCCAATTCAGATTTTGCCGCAGCGTCTGCTTTCTCTAGAACCAAAGTTTGGTTAATTACTGTACCTTTTAGGTGAATTCAAATCAAAAGAGAAGATTCCAATTAAATATACTACATCAACTCAAACATAAATGAAAAATGAAATAAATAGGAAATGAAACTCTTTTTCCGAATTTAAATCGCGTATATTTGTTTTTTCAAACAATCCTACGTTTCGGGCCCTTTACACGTCTCTTGGTCACGGTTGACTGAGGTGGTACAGTCTTCACCTTGTGCAGATCCTGACCGGGCACGGCTGCTTCGGTCACTACCTGCACAGGGTGGCGAGGAGGGAGGCGTCCCCGTCGTGCCACGAGTGCGGCGCCGTGGACGACACCGCGCAGCACACCCTCGAGGTGTGTTGCCGGTGGATCGAGCAGCGCTGCACTCTGGTGGCGACAATAGGGAGGGACCTCTCGCTGCCCAGCGTGGTCGCGGCCATGCTGCGGGATGAGAGGTCCTGGGACGCGGTGGCCTCCTTTTGCGTGGAAGTGATGACGCAAAAGGAGGCGGCGGAGCGGGAGCGCGAGGACGCGCCTGACGCACCCCCGCTCCGGCGCAGACGGGCGGGGAGGAGGCGGCGGCAATTTGCCGCTCAACTCCTTCCCCACTGAGGCCAGCGGACAGGGACTAGGGCCCCCTGTTCGCATTGCATGGCCTCAATCGTCTGGGGAGAGGGGCGGAGAAAACCGATCCTCTCCTCCATAGGCGCGGGAGCCCCGGCTTAGTGGCCGGGGCGGCCGGGCGGCGTCGTGGTGAAATAGAGATGATCCCACGGCGCCGACACAAACCCGGCGAGAGGCAAACCGATGGGGTTTAGTGGGTACACCCCTGGGTCCATGCTAGACCCAGGAGCAGCGCCCTTTTCAGGGCGCCGGGACTCCCACATAACCTCCGAGCCGCCCGGGCTCGGGGGTATCCATAAAGGATTCCCCACCGTTAAAAAAAAAAAAAAAAAAAAAAAGGTGGTACAGTCTTCAACCAGTTATGTCTAATATTGATGCAAACCACCCTATTTTTGCACTATAGTTACAATAGTTATTAATTAAATACCTTATTTTTAATTTTACAAAGAAAACATTCCAATTTACGCTACATTAAGTTTTACAAATTATTTTATTGAATGAATTTTTGTTAAGTTCAATTTATTATTAATCAATAATAGAAATTAGAATAAACTAAAACATATTAATTAGTACTGCAGTCTTATATCTGTTTGGGATTTTTCATTAGAGGAAATATTGGATCCCTAACTGGTGGTATGGAGAAACCATCTTCCCTGTTGAAATTAGGATGTTTTTTAATTTCAATGGCCTCTCGCAGCATCCTGGGTGAATAACTGATTTCTTTTGCAAGGACCTGGGGTTTGTCAAACTTCATTGAATGTGTAGATTTATCCATGACATGCTCGCATACTGCAGACTTATTCACGCGACGGTGTTTGACATCAGCTATATGTCCTTTGACGCGGGTACAAATACTTCGCTTTGTTTGTCCAATATAAGAGAGACCGCACCACAGTCAAGCTTGTAAACTCCTGCGTTCTGTAAGGGGATGTTACATTTCACGGGTCTCAGGAACTGAGAAATCTTCCTCAGGGGCTTGAAGTAGGTCTTGATAGATGCACGCCTGAGGACTCTTCCGATCTTGTCTGTAACATCTCTCACGTAAGGTAAGATGGCAGGTCCTCGCTCGACTGTTGGTGGTTTCACACGGCGCCTGCGGCATTAGCGTGGAATCTTCAACTTATTCGCTTACTTACTTACTTTATATGCTCAAGTTCCCCTGCCAGATGATTACGATGATTAGGAAATGATGATGATTAGGAATAATACAATCTCAGTACACAGTACTAAAAAAAACCGACCTCAAACGTACGTGGCATTACGTCTATTTGCTAAGTTTTATTGCAACATCCTTAAATTCGCCACTATACAGGACTTGACACTGGAGATAATAAAAAATCGTTTCTTACTACTCAAAGAATATTGAGAGAAAAACGCCTTGAATTGGAGAAATAGCAAAATCAACCATTAAAATACTTGCTCCTTAAGAAAATTTAGGTGCTATTCATTGACTTACAAATAAATGGACGACGGGTCTAATACAAAAACCACGAAAAAAATGTCCCAAGTCAAACTATTCGAAATTTAAATTGTAATGTCATCGCAGTATCGCGCTGTCAGTCGAACAAATGAAGACTAAAGCGGAGTTTGGCGCTCTGTATACGATTTTAGCGCCTTACAAGTGCGGACACTTTTTAGCGCGGACCCGACGTCCATATAATTGTAAGTCAATGGTGCTATTTATAAAAATGAATCTTCATGCGTGAACAGCCACCCTTAGAGGTGGATGATTTCCTTCAAAATAAAATTGGACCACTATGGAAGTACCCCCTTTCCAACAAAAAAAGAATCAAAAAAAATCGGTTCACAAATACCGGAGTTATCGCGTAACATACATACAAAAAAAAAACATACATAAACATAAATAAAAAAAACATACATAAATAAAACAACATAAAAATTAAAAAAAGAGAATTCTAATTTAACAAGACTAAAAAATAACCTTTTTAAAAAGTAATATTTATTATTTCGATTATACAACGTTCTCCAGGGCATAGTAGGGATGTAAGTGCCTCGAAATAAATATCGGCAATTATTTTTCTTGGGGAGGTGAGGACGGCTCACCTCGTGTGCGAAAATACTTCAATTACTAGTTGCATAGTAAAGAGTTGCGGAGGCCCTGAATGAAGTCACCCTAGTAATAATAATAATATTTTTCCCCGGGGTGCACGCATACAACACATACAAACTGCAAGAATACATCGTAACGAGTGAACAAGTCGTGCGCCTGATGGTAATTTACACGCCTGCCCATAACTGTTGCAGTGCCACTCAGAGCTTTAAATCGCAAAGATTTTAAGAGGGGATTTAAAGCTTTCTGAAGAGGGAATTTAAATCTTTGCGATTTAAAGCTCTGATTGGCGCTGTCACTGCGCCCGTCAGCAGTAAATGGACATGTTTTTTGACCACCACCTAGCCCTAGAGTAAAGATAGAGTCAGTAATGGAACTACCTCGCCCAAAAGAATCCTATTCAGTTACTCGAAAACATAATCGTAGGCAGGGAATTCTATTCTTGGGCTGTGCGCGTAATAAAAGATGACGAAAAATGCTTAGTACGCCTGAAGGGAAGGGAATATAGACGAAATATGGATATTATCCCGCCGTATGACTAGGGGGGCGGGCGTACCCATCGAAAAAATCAAGAAAAGCCCATCATACGTATAAAATCGCTTTCGCTTTATATGCGACAAACAGTGGCTACACAATTCACTTAAAAGTATTTAATACTTTCGTCCGCCCACGCGAAGCATTATACATTATGATTTATTTATTATTATTTTAGAGCATGAGCAGTGAAAAAGATGTTTGTTTTCATTATAGGAATATAGTGCAACGTTACAGCTTGAATAAATGTCACCCAATTTAAACAGGATGTAAAAGAGAACACCAAACATATTTGATTTGGTGAAAGTTACCGGTGGAAAAACGGTCCATCTTTTTTTATTGCTGAAATTGGTTACGACGTACGTTTAAATATTCTTAAAAGTATTTATTTTTAATAAAATCAAAACTTTCAAAGGTTCTCACAGACGGTGCTACGGCAATCCAGCTGAATCTTTGCTTTGCTGGATTTATCTTAGTGTTCCATTTTCGTATTAAGAATTATAACAAAAAAGTGGAGTAATTTCCCAAAAAAAAAAAAATTATATCACGGGTAGTAAAACACCCTGATATTCAATCAACTTAATATAAAATTAAATCAATTAATAAGATCTTCACTTACCTTTTAAAATATCCATCAACATTTCCTTGTTTTTAGATATAGTTGGTTGATATACTTCGATTAAGGAATGATAAAAATTTGTTCTAATACCTATAACATGATCAATTAGCTTATTAATAACACAAGTACAGTATTTTTCACACTCGTGTGAGTTTTGCAGACATGCGGATGTTATTTTTTACTATCTCAGTAATTTTATACACATACACGAGGAAATGCGAGACAAGAACAATTTTATTGCGCATGAAAACATGCTAAATTTGTAGGTACGTCGTGAAGTGAGGTGGAATGTTAATAATCAATCAACACGCATATATAGTAATGAATTATACTTAATTCATATGTGAAATAAAATTTGCATAACGTATAAGTGTGCAATAGAAGACTGACAAGACGTGAGCAATATTAATTACGCTACATAATTATGTGTGTGTTGACTCCTGGTACCACTAATATGACCCATCGGGTGGGATCTAACAGTACAAGTATTTCCCCGTTAAGGCTGAATGGTATCGTGGTCGCGTAGGCTTTGAAGCGTGTGAGGTAGACGCGGCGAACTCATTGCACGATATATAAACAGTTGCCTTTTAGAAATAAAATATACTCTCTTACTGTAAAATAGGCTGTCCCCTGATGTATTTACTATGAAACACGCTAATAACTAATAACAATCGAATGAAATTCATCTAAGAATTTTCTGTCATTTGGATTAACCGAGTGTTATAATTTCAACGAAGCAAATTATGAGAACATTCAGCGACATCTAAGTGAAATCGACAGGCAGGAAAAATTTAATCAATGTCGTAATGTTGATGATACATGACTTCAGCTTTCTATGTTGAGTTACGCACTACTTTAAATGCACATATCTCTAGTAAAAAATGAATGAATCTCGATCAGATCCGCCCTGGTATATTAAAAACCATAAAGTTACTGGCGGAAAAAAAAATTGAGAAAAAGTTACGCCGAGTATAACAATCCACGAGACCGGTTAAGGCTCAACTCACACTGGCGCAGTCAAAGCGTCGCGACGCGTCATGTTTTTCGCCTATAGCATATTCATCTCTGTGATCCAGGCATACTAATGCGAGCGTAGTCGCATCGCTAGGCGTTGTAGTTGAAAAACAGGACGCGACGCTATGCTTCGACTCTGTGCGAGTGTGAGTTGTGTGTGAGTGCGAGTATAAAATTATGAGAAACGGTTGCCACAATTTGAATAAATTGTGCCTTACTCAGTACAAAAGTCACATTGAGGCGAATATCCAAAGACAACCTAAAGCTTTTTGGCGATATGTTACTGAAAAACGTGGTGGTGGTACTTCCGTCCCATCTGTGATGCACCTAGGTAGCGCGTCGGCGTAATCTGAGCCGTCCATTTCACAATTGTTTGCGAATCACTTCGTAACGACTTACACGGATGTACAGCCTGATGCGACGGTGACAGAGTCTCTTTCTGATCTACAATAGTCAGAGTTATCATTTGGTAACTTGTCGCAAGTGTATATCTGTGAGAAAGTAGTTGAGAAAGGTTTAAAATTCCTAGATGGTTCTAAGGGCGCCGGCCCTGACGGAATGCCACCACTATTTTTCAAACTATGTGCGCCAATTTTGAGTCTCCCTTTAATGCTTATTTACAATAAATCTCTTTAGTATGGTATGTTCCCTCAAGAGTAACAAAAGGCTAGAATAGTTTCTATTCACAAAAAAGGAGATATTAGTGACGTTAAACACTATCGACCCATTTCTATCCTGTCTTGCCTCATTAAGCTTTTTGAACAGTTGATTCGTCCTATTCTGACAAACTTTGTGAATCCCTATACTTCTGCATACCAGTATGGCTTCAGGAGTGGTCGTTCAACTTTTACGAACTTAGTTGAGTTTGTGACTGATGTCATGACCGAGGTTGATGGAGGTTTCAAAATTGATGTCGTGTATACGGATTTTAGTAGTGCCATCGACAAAGTCAGTCACAAACTATTGATACTGAAATTGAAACGCTTAGGTATACATACATGGCAGTGCTATAACGATTTGGCTCTTATTTAGCTGATAGATCTAATTTAACTGCCTCTGTGGTCGAAAGGTTACCATGCCGGACTGCCACGCAGAGGTCCCAGGTTCGATTCCCCGGCCGGGAGAAATAGTTGTATGGCCTACAATTATTTATCTCGTGAGTTTGGGTGTAATTTGTGGTTGTCTATGTGTGTGTCCATGGCACCCGCGACACAGGGTTTCCCTAGTGCGGGGCTATGTTGAGTGTGTGCGTTATTTATTATTTATTATTATTTATTATAGACTACAAATTGTGAATATTCAGGGACATGTATCATATTACTATTGTACCAAGTCAGGGGTTCCTCAGGGATCGATCTTAGGACCGATTCTTTTCACAATATTTATTAATGATATAACTCAAGAAATACAGCATTCGAAATTCTCTTTATATGCCGATGATTTAAGACTTTACAAAACGGTACACCCTCTAGAAGACGCTAACGAAAAAGTAGCTGTTGCAAAAAAATGTAACAGAATTAAACGCTGCGCTGGTGTGACGCCAATTGCATGGTGTTTAATATAACTAAATGTCAACACATTAATTTACTAGGAAAATACTTCCTTTTTCTACGAATTATTATTTTGATTGTACTATGTTACACAACAAGTCACAAGAAGTGACACAAATACGAGATCTTGGAGTTATCATTGACAGCAAATTGTAATTTGATATACACATTGATAGTATTACCTGTAAAGTAGCAAGGATGTTAGGTTTTATAAAAAGGAACTCAAGAGATTTTAGGTTGCCACAGACTATGCAACTCTTGTGTGACTGTTTGGTTCGTAGAAGCCATATATGAATATGAATATGCTAGTACTGTTTGGGTTCCGGTATATACTGTTCACTCTCAGAGGCATGAAGGAATCCAGAGAGCATCCACCAGATATCTGGCCTTCACATTACATCACAGAATTTCGTATAGATGTCCTTATAACCAGCGATTGGCTTTGGGGATTGGGGAGCTTTGTAGTCGAGTGCCAGATTTGGATATTTTCAATAATTCCTTGCCTTTGTTCAGACATCCTGTATTGCAATCGTTATCAGGTAATTTAAATGCAATATAATATAATATAATATAAAATAAGATGTTTTAGTATTTATTGTGTAAGTCTCTATTGATGGTATATAATCATATTATAGCTCCTAAATAATAATTACGTTTAATTTGTAGTCTTATGTATCCAATTCTAATTATTTCAAATCCAAATTATTTATTAATCTAATTTGACAAATAATTTATGAATATTGTGTACTTTTTAATGGGATATCTATTACAAATTAAAATGGTTATTTAAGTACTTTAGAAATGTGTAATATGTATTCTGTTGATGTACCTTATTAAATAAATAAAAATAAAAAACTTATTTTTTCGTAGATGAACGTGGTAAAAAATGAAAATTTTGCGGGTTTCTGATTTTCTACATTTTTTATTTTTTTAGAAATACTAAGTATGTGCAGGGACGAATAAGTCGTGTGCCTGGTGACAAGCGAAACGCCTGTCCCTAACAGTTGCAGCGCCACTTAGAACTTTGTATCTGAAGGGCACTGCATCTGACACCCTAACACATAAATTGATAACTCCCGTGTGCCTGTAATTTCGCCAGTACCCCCTTCGAACAGAAACACAGTAGTGTTCACATTCCTGCCTGGCGGCAGAAATAAGTAAGGTGGCAGTACTTCCTAGGACGAATTGTGTTATAAGGAGCTCCACTGCTACTAAAAACGAATTTATCGAGCGAATTTTAGTCAATCGTGTTTCGGACCTCATAGTATTAATTATCAATTAAAAAAAAAAACAAGTTAAATTCGTTATCTTTGTTCGAAAAACCGATTTTCCGTGTGGTTGAAATTGTCAAATTGTCTATTTTGGGTCTCTCTTCACCATTCAACTGCTACTAGACCGTGAAAATAACTACTTGTGAGTATATTAAATGGAAACCGGGCCCTGGAGTGTGTACTACAATGACAATACACAACATCTACTTGATACTTTAGACAACGGCAGTGTGTAGGTACTTTTAACGTGTGTAACGACTTACGAATGAAATTATTTACAACTTTAGAAAGGTTTGTTCTTAATGCCATATTTCTCACTATCTTTTTCCCCTAATTAGCACTTAATTGAATCTTTTGTTCGGATTTTTAACAAACATCCAAAAATTAATAATTTGATCGTTATGCCCGAAAATGACGTTCAATGAACATATTACGACAAAAAAAAAACACATTCTGTCAAAAAGATAAAACATAAAGATGTCAAAATATTGGTAACTATGATTGATCTCTTTGGTGATTGTATGGGATCTCATTTTGGTACGGATATTATGAGCATCAACAGTGCATTTGTACCCTAGGATGGAAAAAAATAAATAGTTAAGGTTTGTAACAAGTATTTATTTTTATGTATTTCTGAACTGGGTTAAAAAAAATACAAGGGTGCATAACATGATTATTAATAATTAAGTACCTAGTCATACGCAAATCGCAAATACGTGACGTGCATTTATACTTGTGTGTAAACAAATTGATATTTATACCCTGTAACATAAAGAAGGGTTGTTCATCTCAAGGTAAACTATGTAAAGTATCACTTTTAGTAGCAATAGGGCTCCTTGTGTGTGTGTGTGTGTGTGTGTGTGTGTGTGTGTGCAGTGGCATTGCGCCTCAGATCTTTGCAATTTAAAGCTCTGAGTGGCATCGCAACTGTTATGGATAGACGGGTAGCTTAACATAAGGCGCACGACTTGTTCGTCCCGTCATTTAATATTATTAAAAAAAAACTTTTTCAATTTTCAGTTCAAAAAGTTAACAAAATACACGTGAAATTTAAATCTAAAGATCAGCACTAAGCTTTGTCAATAGGTACTATAATTAAATTTACAAGAGATTTAGTCAAATATTCCTCACTTAATAAAAAATCCCGCCCTGTATCGTGCTCGGCTCAGGAGGTCCCTATTATACTGGCAGCATTCGCCGAATGGCAATGGACACCTGCTGAACCAATCACGACCCAGAGTGGTGATCGCTGCTCTTGTCTCTGAGTCGGCGACTCCTTAAATAAGTCCCGAGCTTCCAAATCCCAGGGCAGGGCAAGATCCAACTTTGAGTCGCTGAGCCAGCGCAGTAAGTCTCGAAATAGTTTCGTGACCTGACTGTAATAAAAAATGCAGCGACAATGAGGTGACCCATTTGGAAAGGAGATGTCAATGTAACGAAAAAAATTCGTTTTGTTTAAACAACACCTCCGCTTTGGTATAAATCTAACGCATCCTAAATAAGTACTTACTCATATAAAAACAAAAATATTATTCCTCATAGTCAATATCGTTTTTTTTTTTAAATGTTAAATGTTATTTCTGGAAAATGACATTTCGGACTACTGATAGGTAGCCCGTTAAATGGCTATATATTCTTTTCCTAGTTTAATTTTTCTTTTCTTTCCTCTTTTCGTCCTTTTCCTTCGCTGCTGTTTCTGATTTTGCCTTAGCTGTTTCTGCCTCTGCTTTTGCCTTAGCTGCTTCTGCATCTGCTTTTGCCTTAGCTGCTTCTGCATCTGCTTTTGCCTTAGCTGCTTCTGCGTTTGCTTTTGCCTTAGTTTCGGCTTCTAGTCTCTTTTTCTCCTCAGCTCTTTTAATTTCTTCTTGTTTTTCACGGATTTGCCTACGTTCCTCTTCTTCTTGAGCTTGAATACGTGTTTCACAAAACTCAATGGCTTTATTCACTAAACCGCCAACCGACTTTTCCAAAGCTTGTCCCCCGGGCCCATTGAAAAAAGTGATAGTTGCTGGAGGTACTATTTCTACTTTTGCGTACTCCCACATATTTGCACCTAAAGGTTTAATTGTTTTTGTTATAGCTAGAACAAAAATGAATAAAAAAAACATTGTTGACTAAAACTTTATACTAGATTAATAAAATCGTGTCGTGTTGTGTTATGTATCAAGCGTTCTTACACAAAAAATAGTCGGCATCGAAATTATCTGTACAGTCATACTAATCAAAATTAAATCTGTGTGTATTAAAACACATCATACACACATCCATAATGGTTAAATTTGCTTTTTACGTTCAGAGTGTTCAAAAAATGATATCTGCATTTGATAAATATTAAACTATGTCAATGATTTCAAAGTACTTTAGATATGGTTATCACTAGTATCAGGTTTCTTACCACGGTATGACTTCTTTTTATTTTCCCGATATTTCGGAACGGCTGCACGCTCCATGGTCAAGGGTTGACTGGACGGCGGCAGATGACAGCTTTATGAGCAGACATATCTCTCTACCCTCTTGCGCTGTCGACGACTACCTTCATCGCGATTTGTTGTGGCGTTACCATTGTCACTCACTTTTTTCACACAAACCACACTCACTGTATCCACACGCGAAACTGAACTCGAGGTGTTTTTGTTTTTATTACTGCACGCACTAAGGACCGGATTCCATGCACTGGACAGTTTAAAACCATCATCACGGTTAAATGTTTTGTACTTCGTGATCTCGATGGCTTCTCGTACCAACCGTGGTATGTAGTGACGTTCTGTCGAGAGTACCTGGGGGCTATGCAACTCGATCCAGTGGTTAGTGTCAGTCTGTGTGAGATGTTGTGCTATAGCCGACTTCTGTGCATCATTGTTTTTTACTGCTCGGATGTGTTCCTTCATACGATCGACAATTGTTCGTTTAGTCTGACCGATATACGAGCTCCCACAACTACAGTTCATTTTATAGACACCCGGTGTTTGTAAAGGAAGGTGGTCTTTTGGTGAACGTAACATTTTTCCTATTTTCATATTTTATCAAAGTGAAACTTCAAGAAAATAACATCCCAATGGAGATTGCTCAATTACTTGAACATTGCTTAAACACGAGCTACTTCCTGTATAATGGCCAATACTACCTTCAGATTGATGGTGTAGCGATGGGCAGTCCCGTTGCTCCCGTTGTTGCCAACATTTGGATGGAACACTATGAACACGCCGCCATTCTGTCAGCACCATCAACAATAAAATTATGGAAGAAGTATGTTGATGACGTATTTTGCATAATGGAAGGAAAGGAGCAACATATACAAAATTATTTAGCACGTCTTAATAACACCCATAACAAAATGAAGTTCACTTGTGAAATTGAGAAAAATCGCGCGCTTGCATTTTTGGATGTATTTGTCAAAGTCCGACAAGACGGTTCACTCGGTCATTCTGTGTACAGAAAACCAACTCACACGGACAAATATTTACATGCCACTTCACTTCATCACCCAAAACACCTACATTCGGTCGTCAGGTCATTAACCAATAGAGCTTATGATCTTTGTGATTCACACCACCTACCACAGGAACAGGAGCACATTAAGACGGTTTTGCGACAGAATGGATACAAAATAAAAACATTTAAACCAATACACAAAAGGAAGAAGCAAATTGACGTACAGAGACTATGCTGCCCTACGTACACGGGGTGACAGATAAAATAGCCAGGTCGCTAAGGAAGTTTACCATAAAAACTGTTTTCACCCTCTTAACCAAAATAGGAAAAATGTTACGTTCACCAAAAGACCACCTTCCTTTACAAACACCGGATGTCTATAAAGTGAACTGCAGTTGTGGGAGCTCGTATATCGGTCAGACTAAACGAACAATTGTCGATCGTATGAAGGAACATATCCGAGCAATAAAAAACAATGATGCACAGAAGTCGGCTATAGCACAACATCTCACACAGACTGACACTAACCACTGGATCGAGTGCATAGCCCCCAGGTACTCTCGACAGAACGTCACTACATACCACGGTTGGTACGAGAAGCCATCGAGATCACGAAGTACAAAACATTTAACCGTGATGATGGTTTTAAACTGTCCAGTGCATGGAATCCGGTCCTTAGTGCGTGCAGTAATAAAAACAAAAACACCTCGAGTTCAGTTTCGCGTGTGGATACAGTGAGTGTGGTTTGTGTGAAAAAAGTGAGTGACAATGGTAACGCCACAACAAATCGCGATGAAGGTAGTCGTCGACAGCGCAAGAGGGTAGAGAGATATGTCTGCTCATAAAGCTGTCATCTGCCGCCGTCCAGTCAACCCGTGACCATGGAGCGTGCAACCGTTCCGAAATATCGGGAAAATAAAAAGAAGTCATACCGTGGTAAGAAACCTGATACCTACTAGTGATAATCATTTAGTGAATAACCACGAAAGTCTTAAAATCTATATACTTTAGATATTCTCAGTTTCAATTACTAAGGTACTTTGGAGGTGTAGAAATGTTCGGTTATTTTAGACTCTGTTAATAATATTATATGTATTTTTATCAATTCCAGGAGGGAGAACAATAGTAGGTAATAATATTTATAATAATAATGTTGTTACAGAATAGTTCAATTAAATGAAGTCTCTGATTCCTGTGCTATTCCTATAGCACAGGAATCAGAGTGTTTTTTGAGGATATTGGCTCCTGCCAATATCCTCAAAAAACACTTGACAACGCTTTGTATATTGTTATGAACAAACTAACTATATTATAATTATAAAATACATTGAAATAAACTGTGTGTGTGTGTGTGTGTGCATGCGTGCATATGTGTATATTTAGTGACAATGTTCTGTAATGTGTAATTGTGAGTATGTGAATAAAATGAATACACAAATTGCGAGTTGACATAGTAAAAGTAAATTTATTTAGAATATATATTGATCAGGGTTAAGAATAATAAAATACTCGTTGTAAATTATGTTATATTTTAAGAACACATGTCGTTGTCGTCTTTTGATTGATCTTTCATTTTATTTCTGACAAGTTCCAATTGTTTAATGAGATACTGTTCTTCCTTTGGCAGTAGAGTGTTCCTAATATCTCTTAACTTGTTTATAAGAACATTTGTGAACGTGTCAAGAACTTCTTCTACTTTTAAAACCATAGGGTTTTCTACGATGGGTTTGGCTTTTGTACTACTAACTGCACCTTTGGTAGCGGTCCAAAGTTTAGCGAAGACAGGCTTGGCAGTCTTCAATGAAACTGTAACAAACAAAAACAAAGACTTTATACGTACTTCTATGGCATTTCTTTTATTATAATCTTCAACGCCTTAATTTCGAAACACAAACATTATTTCAACGTATATTGTAGTTTTATAACTAGGGCTTCTGTTTTGCTGGGTACAGTTTCAATGAGGTGCAAACAAAGTAATAAAAAAGTAGAACGAACAACATTCAAATTTGTTAGATGTAACAATTACATACCTAGTGTTAAGTCCAATGCCATTCTCGCTACCCTCGCCATAGTGATTAGCTATGATTTTGTAAAGGATTTTAATAATTGTTTTTGCCTTCTTATATGTGCTATATTTTTTACTACAATTTCGATTTTATTATATCATTTGAATTGTATGAATTTATAGACTATATCTTTATAATTTGTAGAGTTTAATAGCATAAATTTGAAGTCAACTGTCAGTTAAAAGTCAGGTTAATCATTTTACTTGTTTTCTTTTAATTTGGCATATTACGTGCCTATAAACACCACGATGCACTATGGACAATGATAGAACAACGGCATATCAAAAATCGTTTTTCCTTAAGTCGTTATTGACGCACTTTAATTTTTTTTTAAATTGTATCAGAGTAGTACTTTAATATAATGTAGTAATTTTGCGTGAATTGCATTTGGAATACATATTTTTTAATGTGAGAAATTGCAATTCGTAAGT